TAGTGTGTATATATATATATAGATAGATAGATAGATAGATAGATAGACAGACAGACAGACAGACAGACAGACAGAGAGATAGATAGATAGAGCAAGAGCGATGACGAGTTGGCCGGATGGGCTGAGGAACGAGACAAAAGTGCACTTAGAGGGCTGGTCCTACTTAGCATGTCCTTTCCTTCGGCTGCTGTGCTGCCATGGTCCATCTGGTCAAATCCTCAATGATCGCAGATTGCTAGCCGCAGCCTGAACCTGCCAGCAGCAGCCTGTTCTGTCTTCGAGTCGTGCGAATGGCCACGACATCAACCTCACCAGCCATGACTTGCAATCGCAGCCTCCTGCGCACAGCTCAGAAGTGCTTGCAGGGCGCTTTTGCCGATCCCGTTCCATCTTGCGGTTTCCATCGGTTGATATTCTCCAGCTCCCCAGAAAATCCCCACCAAGACTTGCAGCAGGAGCTGGTCTTAAGGCTTCGAAGCGCGTCAGATTTTGATCCCAGACACAGGAGAACTCTCCGAAAGCCACAAGCAACTTGCCGAACTTGCGCAGTCAGCCGGCAGCACCAACAACGCCAGTTGTGCCGATGGTCTAAGAGACATTCATGTCATGGACCGGTTCAGTCAAGAGTGATGCGGCAGCATGGGGTGCTTTCCAAGAAAGACTGACCGCAATCATGATAATATCGACAATAATGACTGTGCCACCTCCAACCGCCTCACCCCACACCGCTACAATCCTCCATCCTTTCCCGAAACGTGACGGACGCACCAACAAAGGATAGCAAACTGGAGCGGTCGAACTAATTGTACGTAATTGTAGTGCCTCCCTCTTCGCATTCCTCATGTCTTCCCACGAGTCCTACCTTCAGCAATGATGCAGGATGCACAAATTCCGCACCTTGCAGAAGCTCGAAGCACTTATCACTTTATCACCATGTCCCCAGAACCACGCTACCAAGCAATAAGTTGCACTGTATCCCATCTGCCGGTCGTGGCAGGCGTCGCTCCTTCACGTCCAGAGGTTTGCGCCCAGTGCAGCCTCGACATGTTTCGTAAGACGTGCTGCATGCCACCGGCACAACTGGCAAAGTTCTGCTCCTCGGTACAAGTCTCCTTCTCGACCGGAATTCGGAGCTCGGCAGGTGCAACTACGGCACGCAGTGCTACCGACGCAACGCACCCGGCCTGCTCAGTCTCACATCCCTGATATGCTCTTCTTGATGTCGGTTGCCGTACAACTTTGCGCCAAATCTAAGATCTCATCTGTTGAGCTGTCCTTCAATGCGCTGGGAGCTGACTGACCCAGGCAATCCGGAGCACTTGAACGAGCATGCTCATCCTTGGGACGATGCCTGGACCTCATACCCCTCACAGGTTCTGGCACGTTACGTTTGGGATTTCGACAGAAGCCCGATTCCAGGACTATCTCTTTTGCTGTGAGCACATCGGCAAGAAGCCGGAGTCCGGCTCTGAATGATGGTCGCTTCATAGTTGGCCCAGCAGTATCTACCGGTCTCCAGCTTCTTCCAAGCCGAATGCACCGAGGTTCTGCAGCATTCGGAAGCTGTTTGCCCGAGTCCTGCGGCAACCTCACTTGGCTCCAAGAAAAACTGTGTCGAAACAACCAGGAATGGGCAGACAACGGCACTGGGCGCGCGACGCGCCGCTTGGCAGTGCAGCAACCGATTGCATCCCGGTGCCGAGTCTTGACATGCGAAGCGCTGAGGCGAAAGGCTGCAAAGCCATGCCACGTGCTTAGGGATCGGGGCGCACGTTCGAGCAGAATGCTTGCCTTTTCTCCTTGCTACTGCTAAGGCCTGGCCAGAAATTCAGAGACTCGCGAAGGACGCATGGGGCACAGAGCTGGGTCGAGACCAGGGCAATCTTTTCATCTTCAGGTCGGACCTTTGACCGACGAGCTTTGGAGTTCTTTGGACGATGACGGAAACGGTCCTGCCCACGGAAGCCTGAGCATCGCAGCATGACCAGGGTGCAACATGGTGTGACAAAGTTGGGCTGGGTTTTCTCACTGCCTGAAGAAGCTCTGGGGAAGATTTGAGGCTATATCAATTTCGGAGAATTCGCAGAGTTCACTACAAAGATGCGAGTGGGTCCGGCGCTCTGTGCTGACAACTCTGACGGCTAGTGCCGTCATCAACAGAGCCCAGCAACTTCCGAGATCTTCCGCTGGGCTTGGATGACTTGCTCGGCACCACCAACGGGACGTCCGATCTGAAGTGTGGAGTGCCAGCCTTACGTTTGCCTAAGTATCCTGGTATGAGAAAATTGCTGACTGCTCAAGGTCTTTGAATGCCCGTGCACGAAGTTTGTCATGCAGCGGCGACGCTGCAAGTATGGAGCTGCTCTCAGAAACTCTCTGGTCTGCTTGCCCCTGATGTTCGGCACAGGTTGGAAGAGACAGTTGAATGGCCTCTTTCAGTGGCCGAAAAAGAACGTGTCAGTCGAGCGTGAGTTTCGTCCCAGGAGCTACATGCTACCAGAAGAACGAGGAGCATCGTTCTAGTACTGCTGGCACGCATTCACGGCGAGTCGAAGCAGATGACTTGAGGCCGTTGCAGTGCAGTGCGGTGTGTGCCAGGCTTCTCACACCCTGATCAAGACGACTGGGAAACAGCAGTTGGCCCCGGCGGGAAGGAGCCTGGCCCCTAGACACCTTGCCTTGGAAGGGTCGTCGACTTGCAGGAACAATGTTCACCAGCATTTGCCGTGCTCGCTCGTGGTAGTTCTCTTTGGCAGCACTGGCCACTGGTGTAGATGGCACCCCGCCTTGGCGCTTCGATTGTGCAAGAATCCCAGGATGTGCCGTTGCGGGCACAAGAAAAAGCTGCATGCCGTGGCCTCAACGACTGAACTGAAGACGCAAATGCATATCTTGTGCATGGGATGGCTACAGTGTCTAAAGTAGCGCGCACACCTGGCAACTGAAGCATGTTGCAGCTCCAGACAGATCAATGAGGCATCTGCTGCATGTGGAGTTGCTGCGGTCATCCTGGCTCACTTATAAACTACTTATACTGTATGAACACAGCTGTACTCTGCGGAGCTTATGCTCAGGCACGGCTGTCGAGGAGATGGTTTCGAGCTTTTTGTGGAACTATTTCTGCGTGTGGCCATCTGTTCTGGCTTCAGCTTGCTTCGGGGGAGCGAACCCACTTGTCACTTGCAACTTGCTGCACCGCACGTGCATGACTTTCCCTGAGCTGTACAGTGGTGACTTTATTTTCTGCGTGCTCGATGTTCCGCCTTGCCGAACTGTACAAGATTAGTGGACGGCATGCCTCACAAATTGTCGCTTTCGCATGTTCACGTCTCGTCAGCCTGTGCGAATCAAGTTTATTTTTATCATCTCCTGGATGTCTGCTTACAGTTGGATCCCCCACCTGTCCAGGGGGCTGGTAGTGTTCTTGGCACACACTGGTGGATGCTACGCTGCATGGCAGGTCCCTTATCCTGAGTATTGGAGCCGTGCTCCGAGCATCTCAAGCCTTGCTGCTGCGCAATGCGCAGCACTACCAGGCCTGTTGCATCCATTGGTGCCAAGGTTCCAGTTCTCTTGCTGCGAGCTCTTCGGCTCCTGATAGCGGCTGCGATCCCGGATGGACCCCGGATAGACGGGATACAGCTGCACCCTCGAACAAGGCCTCATGCGGCAGGACGAGCCAATCACTCAGAAAACAGCAAGCAATGCATCAGGTGCCGAACCACTTGACGCCCAGGTTTTGTGTGCTCCCGGAGGTGTCAGTTGACATGACCGCGCGGTCGGGACCCAGGCTCTTCCAAAACTGGCGAAGAGTTAAAACATGTTGAAACCTGTACATGATCAGACTGTCTTGGTGGCGCAGCACAGCGCCGAGGCTGAAGCAACTCGTGGATGCCACGTACTCGGCGCCGGGCCTGGGACAAGGCCCCGCCTCTCCATGCTTCATGCGCCGTCCTGCCAACCAGGATGTCACCACGCGTGACCGCCAACGCCATTCTGGGAGTTGGATGGTGTTGGATGCTTGGATTGTTCGGCAGTGGTTCAACCCTTCGCCGAGAGAGTGTGCATGACAAGGCCCCGTGGCTTCGAGGTTGTGTCTGCCACGAGCTGACAAAGGCTAAGACATGAGCAAGCAAGCCTTTACCGCCAGCAAATCTTTTCGTAAGGCCCTGCGCAACGAGAACAGCAAGCTTTGGCGCAAGCTCGCTCCTCAGAGCAGTCGCTGAAGACATGCCTTGTCTTGCGACACATTGCGACACGTACAGCATGGAGACGTAGCTTTTCAGGGTTCCTGCCACGTTGGAGGTATTGCGTGAAGAAAGCGGAGCTCCAACAGGCGCCTTGTAGCTGCGAAGTGCTCGTGGAGTTTTAGGTTTGGAGGCCCAACTCCGACTGTACACACTAGGCGGGAGGTGGGTCGGCTGGCAATGCAGGTTGTTCCCGTCGGAAAGCATGTGTGCCAAGGAAAAGAAGACTGCAGCTGATTGCGGCTTTGAATGGCAGGCCATGTGTCTCAAGTGCATCAGCAGATGTAAGAGCTGAACCTTGGAGAGTTGCGCACTATGCCGCGCAAGCTGCTTCTTGTCCAGGTGTTCAGTGATGCGGCGGCCCAAGTGATAGGATCCATTAGGGCACACACAGTCATCAGTCTACCTGAGCCGACAGCAAAAAGGAATAGCAAAAAAGCAAACCCAACGCCAGGGCAGGGTGGCACGAGTTCCGCTTCAAGCGACCTGCCAAGGTGCTGACAACCAGGTTCTGGGCTGCTTATGGTGATCGACTCGATGCTGAGATTAATGAGCTGGAAACCAAGCGAAGCTGCTGTAATTTGGTTCTCACCTCGTCGGGTGGTAGCGGAGGACTGTGAAAAGTTCTGGCTGCAGATGCCGTTCAGGTGGTACCTTTGGCATGGGACAAGCAACTCTGCCGCCCACAACATCTGCAGGCTCGAGCGAGTGCTCATGCAGTATTAATCAGATAACTGACCTCACTATCTCTACTGTGAGGTGGAATTGCTCGTAGGTGCACCGCATGCCAGGTCAGACTTCAAGATGAGACTTGCCGGCAGCGCCACCGGCACCTTGTACGGCAGCACGTCAGCAAGGGGCATGTTGTGTGCCAGCATCACATTCTCCCTAGGAAAAAGCTCGCATGAAAACCCTGCGGCTGGCATGACAGTTTCACGAAAGGTCGTGGTTCATACCTGGCTGAGTCCATCACCAAGGCCGAAGAATAGGAACCACATCCAAGTCTGTGCCAGCGAGCCTTTGGATGCCTGAAAAGTCCTTTCGATTGAACGGGTGAGGCTGATGAGTACTCCAGGGAAGAAGACGGCCTTTACACTGTTCTGTTGTGTGCGCAGCACGGGAGCTTCTTGTTTTTTACATGCTGTGTTATGGGCCCCAAGCTGATTGAGTTGGAGCTTAGGCCGTGTACTTGGAGGGCGTGTGAGGTACACTGACGAAAGGCCTCCAGCGCAGCTGCAAGACAAGAGCCGGAATCCAGAGCTAGCCAGTGGTTAAGTCTGGCAGGACTCCGGATCCGGACGCCTTGACACGTGAATGTACCCAGGGGCCGCGTCCTCGTTCGCCGATCTTTTCGCGCAGCCTGTAGATGCCCTGGCTACATGATGCAACGAGAAGATGCAGAAGAGCAGCTGCAGCACCGGGCGATTCAGCAAGCGTGAAAACACCAGGGACTATGACTGCATCCTGGGCGATCGCATCAAGATTTCCGGCACATACCGTGAGTTCATTGTGTCCGGCACCCGGCTTCAATGAGTCGTCCTCAGCAAAATTGCAACGCGCTTACTGCCTTGTAGTCTGCGGCGGCCCAGAACCTCTTCATGTCACAGTATGAGTGGAGCTTTGCCGATGTGCAGCGGAGGTTTGACACGGAGAACGTGTATCCCGAGCAGGGTTCTGAGTTTTGTTGGGGCGCCAATCGAGAATCAGTCACTGCTGCTCACGCAGATGAGCCTGGAGGTACATCGTCAGATACAAGCGTGGAGAATTGTTCAAATCTCCATCACATCCGTGAGTCCCGAGTCATAGTCCGGTGTAGTGGCTTCAATACGTAGGCGGCTGGGCGGCATGGGCATGCTTTTGGGCAAGCTGTCGCTCTTCAGCAAGACGTTGCGGTGCCACAGAGTCATAGTTATCATAATTTATAACATATACAGTGCACTTACGCCACGAGTTCCTCCAAGCTTTGGCAGCACAAGCCCAAAAGCAGCCGGGCCGCAAAGTCTGGGCTGCAAGGAGAAGCCAGAAGCCAGCGCTCAGGGTGACGAAGCAGCCCCTCAGTAGACAACCATTCCCGAGTGGCAAAGGCAAAGGCACAAGAGCCTTGGCGAGTTCGGCAGTGACGAGACACTATGTTTGTTTCTGTACAGGACTGCCATTCTGGCCACATGGGCTCGTCGGGTCTAGCCGTTTAGCCTGGCCTCAGCGGAAAATTCGATGCTTTAGTATGCTTTGACGGAGAGCGGGCGAAGAGCAGCAACTGCTGAACCTTCAACTTTTGCACCGCATTGCGAAGGTGAAATCTGCGGGATACGGTCCCCCGACGGAGCCTCCGCGGGCACTTTGCTCAGCTTGTGACAATTCCGCATCCTTCGCTGAGAGGTCGCTGATTTTCTCGCGTTTCATGTCAGCGTTAAGCAGGCCCTGAACAGAGACAGTACCCACTGCTTTCCAAGAGCAGGCCAGGATACATACCAACACTGCTCTACCCGTTCTCTGAGTCAAACCGAGCCGAACCCACTGAACAAAGTTCTTTGCTCAGCGGAGCTTTGTTCGCTCACTTTCTCCACGCCAGGTGGGCGGAAGGAACGATTTCCATTCAATTTCCAACCTGAAGCGGCTGGGAACAGTGGGTTTCCTGAACACCCAGACCGCCCAGACCGCTGATTCTCTAAGCCACTGATTTCTCGGACTGCATGGACGCGAGTTAGATGACGGAAGGCACCTCTGACATGTTGGAAGCGCGACGGCACGCGACGGCCAGTGAATCGCAGAAAGTTCGCGGGCCATGCGGGCCATGCCATGCTTCTGGCCGACCTGTCCGAGATTTTCAATGACATGTTGTGCAGCAGCACGCCAAGCAACACCCTGAGAATATCCCGCGCTGCATGTGCTCAGCTTTGCTTGTCATCTGTTTCCCTCCCGGGCGCCGTCAACGTGAGCATCATCCGCATCAGCCGTCCCCTGCAGTCCGTTGGCGAGACGCGCCTGGCGGTCACGAATAGGATAGGGCCGGACAAAACCCATGATGGCAATGATGCACTCAGCATCCTGAGCAACATCGCTCTCTTGCTTCGCTCGTCAAATCGTCATTCAATTCACGAGTCCCTGACTAAGGTGACTAGGCACAGGTTTGCACTGGGGCTCGCTCGTCGTCCGGCAATATTGCAACGAGTCGCACTTGTGCTCAATTGTCGTCACAACATTGCACATGGTCCTAGCTGTGAGCCATGCTAGTCAGAAGCTCATGGCAGACTCGCTTGTCGCCTGACGACATCGCACGTCGTCTCTTTTCAGCTTGTGCTATTGCACGATGCTGCTCCTATCTGCTCGTGAGCATTGCATTGCTGCTCCGCCCGTGCTTCCCCGTCTATTAGGTATATTACGCTAGTTTGCAGCGGCTTACCTTTGTAGCGGGACATCGTGTCAGGTGCTCGGGAAGCCACGGCTGAATACCAGACCTCTTCCGCAGGGGCCTGGTTCTGACGACCAGAGTCACAACACGAAGCTGTGCCTCTTAGGTCGAAGCCCGACTTCGGGCCCCCAAAGCCCGGTCAGAGGCCGCAAGAAAGATGCAGACTGGAGACGCTTGAGTTTGTCACGGAATCGCTGAATGGCTGCATCGATCCTTCGCACGGCGGTCTGTCTTCCGTTTAGGCCAAGCCGCCCGCGATCCAGCTCTGGCCAGGGTCCTGGCCCTTCAGGCTGCTCGGCTCGGCAAGGGGAAGGTTATCACGGGTCCCACGGCGCAGGAAGTCGAAGTTTGTGAGGAAGTGGCGGACATTATGTACATTGTGATGCTAGGAATTCCCACGTGCAGGGCATTAGATTACACGATCCAATAAAGGCATTGTGGCTAGTATTTGCATGTGGGTTTCTAGACGAAGGGAGACCCTGCATTTTCACCGAATTTTCACTTCATGAAAGAATTTCAATTTGCTTGGGTGCTGAGTACATGCACAAGGCAAAACTAAGATTTGCATGTGCGCCTGTTCGTGCGAATCCAGCTGCTATCCCACAAAGGCATCCGTGCGCTGGCCCCAGGTGGGCCACCACTGGAACATTGCTGCACTCTTACGAGCAAATTGACAACAGACTGTCTCGTCATTGCTTGACATGACATGCAGCCTCATGCTTTTCGTAACTGGTGGTAAGTACTCATGGTTCATTCCGCTCAGTTTTCAAACATCTCTGACACCTGCACCGAAGCTCCAAGAAATTTGTGCGTGCTCGCTTTCACGATCATCAGCTTGGCCATGTGGTACTTGTGTCTCTAGCACAGGCCTGGATTCCGGAAGCGGGAAAGCACAAAGGCACACGTAGTGGATCTTAGTGGGTCGGGCAGGCAGCGGCTTGCACAGCTGAAGAGTGCAATTCCTTCAACGTGACACCATCACATCCGAGGCTGCAGCCGTAATTTGCAAGTTCGCAGGAGTTTCGGCCGAGTTTCTATGACATTCCGCATGTGACGGAAGAATGCTGATAGTGCTCAATGTGAATCTGCTGTTGACTTGTTTGCTCTACAAAGTGCACAGGAAGTAGTGATTGACAAATTGGCGCATGTGGGAGGAACGATATGCATTGCTTTGTGGTGTGTTGGTACGCTTCGGGGGAAGCAAAGGTCCTGACATGGCAATTTCCGCGTGTGAGGGCTATGCCGCCGGGACCCAAGCTTGACGGTTGCGAGTGAGCTGTGGCAGCTACAGAATGAATTCGGCAACAGTCAGTAGCATTCTCAGGTCACTGACATCAGCTTCTCTCCTCAGGCCAGATGCCGCCGCTTCGAAAGCACAGATTGAGAGAAGGAAGCGACTTGCCGATAACACACCTCAAACAGAGTGAATTCAGACAGAAACTGCGCCCGCCAAATCGAAGCTAGTAAGCGCAGCAAACAAAAACAATCGCCTTAGCAATGGCCTTGAGACTTTCGACTGCCAACGATGATGTGGGCATAAGCTTCTCGGAATAGAGCGCTTCCGCGGGCGAGAATCCTGTGTTTTGCGTGATGCCCACGGCGACGTGCTCTCAGAGTCATGCTCCTCGTAGTTTAAGGGGAGATTTGCACTGAACATCTCCATCCAAAGCTAGAGGCCATTAGCAAACAAGTATCCTGTGTCCTCATACCAGAACTGCCGACAGCTAAGTTTTGGATGTTGGGGAGTTTAGGGTTTAGGGTTATGCACACGATGTGCTGCGAGGGATTTGGCCGGGCGAGCTCAGTTCAAGCCTGTGGAAAAGGGTTATGCACAACAGCTGCCGAACTTGGTCAGGCCTCCCACTTGATGGTCGTAGGCAGTGATCGAACGGCCGCTTCCTCAGCGGTGATTGACGCGAACGACGTGCTGAGGACGAAGGATAAACAGATAAGCAATTGGGCTGATGTTGGCGGGTGCTGGGAGCAATCCTCGGTGTAGCTCTTCTGAGTCTCAATTGCTAGGCAGGCTTTGCGGTGCATGGTGCTCAAGTTTGCCAGAATGAACACCTCGTGCACACCGCTGCTGTTTCAAGGGTTTGCAGTATGGCAGTTACTGGACAGCCGTATGTCTTCCTTGCCATGGCGGCCAGATTTGATCAGGAGGGATGGAACGTGTGCCGCGACCGGCACGGCTGGCTTTAGCACAAGCTTCCCTCGCCAAGCGCGAGTGAACACCCTTGTTTCCGACCTCACCGAGTATGTCAATTGTCGTAAAGATCAACAATCTCAGTGGACCTCTTTGTACCAAGGCAGCACAGCTTATTTCCGTGCCGAATCTGTGGCTGTGTTAGCACGCGTCGTCGCTCACAGTATTCATCATGCCGCAGCGCCTGCTGCTTTTCTTGCATAAAGTCCCAACGAAGTCTGTGTTCACAGTGCAGCACCTGCTTCAGGCAGCATCAATGCTGATCAAAACTGGACTGTCGCGGAGTTGAAGATGGCCCTAGCAAAGGCGCGCATGCGCCCCGAGAGTACTCATCTGGCATGTCCGGGTTGCAAGAGCGTAACGGCGCACAAGTGGACGAGATGCTGATTCAATGCTGATGTAGGGTGGAACGCAACAGCGACGGATTCCTCCAATGACGCCAAATTCTGAAGAAGGGGTGATCTCTTCCCCCGGTTGTTAAACTTGCCCCCCTCCCGCGTATTCAAACACGATTTTCCCGGAAATGAGTCTTAATATCTGGGGCTCAGTTATTTACCATCTTCCCATTGCTCGGTGCTTTATTCTACACCCACCCTTGGGCAGGGCAGACCCTGCAGTGTGGTTGCTGCAAGCTGCAGTTCCCGGGCAGTGCCTGCAGTCCTGTGCTCCTGCGGGGCCTGCTGGTTTGCAGTTCTTGCAGTCACATCAACTCATACGTTCTAAGACACACCCGCTCGTGCAATCGTTTAGTCTCCTATGCTGGGGTAATGCTTAAACCCAAACTCTGAGTGCGAAAAGAGCTCAACTTACACATTGTACATACTGGCTCTTGCAATCGTACTGCAAGGTTTCGGATGAGGGGAAAATCCCTAAAGATAAACTCTGTGCCTGCCTGTGCGAGTGCACGTGTCGAAACATAAACTCTTGCAAGAGAGAGCCCACACTAGGTGACTAGGGTGAAAGGTGCACCTGCCCAAGATCAACCATCCTACCTCTTGTAAAACTGGTGAAAATACCGTTTCGGATCGAAGTCAGGGCCGAGGTTGAGTCCCTTATCAAACAGAACGGATGCTAGCTGTTGGAATGCTTCAGCATGTTTAACACTAGCAGACCTTGCATTCAGGCCTTTACCTGTCAGCTGCAGCCAACATGACTACCGTGCTATTATAGCTCTAGAAAATCCAGTCCGACAAGGAAAGGTATATAAACCTTAGGAGATCTGTCTTGGGACCTATGAATGTCTCGAGCATTGCACCCATGCAAGCACTGCGGCCACGGGGCCGAAAGCACAGCACGACAAGAGCTTGGAGCAATGCAGTTTGGAAAGTTGGTACGCAAGAAGACCGATGCAAAGCGATTCTGGGAGAATGTCAGATTGGAATTGTGCTGCAATCAATGGCATGACAGGTGCCTATGCGGCCATCTAAGCCGTGCGTATTGATGGGCCCACAGTAGGTTGCCTAAACTGGGAGAGCCTGTGTGTCTCGGAATTCGCTGGCTGCAGGTGGTGGGTGTGCCTCGACGACAACAGCGCCTACTCTCTGGATTCGCTCCGCTTCGCGAATCTGATCGTGCCGTTAGCAGCACATGATTTTGAGGCCAAGTTTTGTCTCAGCTTTCCGCAGTTCTGCATCGGCAAGGCAATCCAAGTCAACATGAATGGCATCGATGTAAATCTGAGACGCAAGGGTATGCCAGCATGTATGAGGCATCGGCGACGTGTTGACCGACGATCAGGTCACCTTCGCACGAATTGCTGTGTCAGCTGAAGCTGAATACTGGTGATGGGGCCGCACTAGCAGCTGCAAGTGGAAGTATGGGCGACGTTCAGGCGCTGCAGGCATCGGTGCTAGTTTTTGTTCCAGACTCCAAATCGAGCAAAGGGCACCAACGTGGACTTTGGTGTTTGGCTTTAGATTCCAAGCTGCCGTCGATGCAATGATAATGCATACCAGTTGTGACAAGCAAGGGCAACTTTAGCTGGCAAGCTAAGGGAAGGAGCAAGACTGTGGAGTCTCTGCCCCAAGATCCTGTAGTCTCAGCAAGCTTCTCCTGCTCTTGCGAACTTCAGACCGCTGTACTCCTGCAGTCCGACCTCTACAACTTAGAGGGCACAAGTTGACGACTTTTGCAATTCCCTCCTACCCCTCATTTTGGGGGGTCCGGACGTGTCGTATGAGCGCAACATGGGGCTGGGTTTCCTCTGCATGGCTGAGGATCGCCAGAGTTCGCCACCGCTCTGGAGAACTCAGCTCGGCGCCGGATGCCATGAAGAGAGACCACGAAGTTGTCCTCGCAGCAATGCAGGGTGATGCTTGGACTAGTTCTATTATATTCTATTGTTCCAGCCTGACAAGCACCAGGCTCCTTTTTTCAGTTTTGCGACCTCCTACAACCCTCTGTTTTGAGGTTTGCACACCACCTTTAGCTGTTAGCTGCTTCAGGTCCACTTTGCCAGAATCTTCTCCCCGAAACGATTCGCCTCTCTGAACCTTGCACACAGAAGCCGAAGCATCCCGGCACCACCCCGGCATTGCAGCAAATTGCAGGATGTCAAGGCTTTGGGACAAGGGCAACTAGCAGGTGTAAGCCTCAGTCAAGCCAATCAGTTCAGAACAAGACACACCGGATTCTCTCACCACAACAAAGAGGGAGTGGGAAATAGTGGGAAACTTGGCTGGCCTAGCATTCTCGCTGCTTGACCGTTGGGGTCCTGAACGCGCGTCTCATCGCAAGGGTATCCATGCTTCATTGGGTAATCTGAAGGCCAACCGCAAACAGGCAAGGTTCAGTCGTTTCGGTTGTCTGGGTTTCTTCCTCGAGGTATGGCGACAAAAGGTCTAGGTAGTACACTCTGTGGTTTCGTTCTCTTTCTGTTGAAATCGTTTTGCAGTCAGGGCTTGTCCTAGAAAATCCCGCCATGAGGGCAAGCACGCACTTTGTTTGCATGCTGTCCGGCTTCTCTTCCTGACAGGTCTTGGGTCAGAGTCTTGCGTCGGTTCTCCGGTTCTGGTTCACGGATTTGGTTGCTGCGAGTATTCCCCATGGCCTGCGTCGCAGTCGATGGCCGCGGAGGATCAACAGATAATGTACGAAACGCATCATCGCAGCACTGCGCAGAATCGGATGGGTAGTGGGCGGTATAAAATCTCTCCCAATTCTAGTGACCTCCTGCGGTCGCATCAGGACAAGGCCGTCATTCGCTTCGCAGCCCCGGAGCGCTTTTAGACTTTCCTGTTTCGTTTCGAAAAGCTAAAATCTGCGGAAGTTTGAAGGAGCTCTTGAGCGACCGCGACTTTGCGGCAGCCGTTGTGGCTTGGTCCGGCGAGGCGTGGTCTGTGCTAATACCAGAAAAAGAGAAAGGGAGACGGAGCAGACGAGTACAGAATGCGCAGAGATTGACGAGAGGTATATGAGTCGGTATGAGCTGAAATCTGAAACGCAGTTAGCCTCGTTCCATCCTTGTGAACCGGGAGTTTCGACATGCGAAGTTTGCCATGTGTTGAAACCTAGCGCACACAGCGACGTCGGGACACCTTCAGCCTAAAGGCGAGAGACCACCCCGTCTTGGCTCGCCTGATTCAGGCATTGGAGCACTTGCTGCCATCATGGAAAGCTGCAGCTCACCTGGTGAGAAGACAGTTAGTGAGATAGGTGTTTGTTCGTGATGGCAACTGCTTTTCGTGTTGGCTGGTCGTTTTGCCAAATGCCGCATGTAGCTGCTGACTTGTTGCTGCATTCAGAGATATTCAGAACGCCGAGGACAAAACCATCGTTCTCACTGCCATCAAGCAGAGCCCCCGAGCCATCCGTCATGCGTCTGATTCACTCAGATCGCAAAAAGACTTCTTGCCAGGGGCTTAATGCACGGGAGAACCAGCTAAGCAAACCAGTTTGATGGGTCTTGCCCTTTCAAGGATCGAAGCCATCAGCTGCAGCAAAGGCTTGGCTTTGCAGTCACTGAGTCCCCTGGCCCGCGTCAGGGTTCCTGCGGAAACTGCATGGTTAGGGTTCAACGAAGTAGTTGCACACTTTGACAGAGCACGGCGGGAAAGCCGCGATCTGGGCAAAAAGGTCAAGACCGAATACAAGATCGAGAGCTACAACAAGCTGCTGTAAGAGCAAACTGGATGATGCTGGGGTGGCTACGCAAGCAGGCCCCGAGCCTAAGTCACTCAGCTGATTCGAGTCAAACGATTTGACCGAGGGTGTATGAACACATCATGACGTTAGCAGCCCTTGGTTGTGCGCCGTTGAGTAGCAAGAGGGACTGCGAGGAGAGGAGTTGTACGTCGCACCTGACTGTCAACCGCGCTTGACCCGTAGAGGCTGCGAAAGCCGAAGCAGGGGCAGGGGCCATCTGCATTGTAGTCTGATGGGACAGTACTTGTCGGGTTGTCGGGTAATTCATGAAGGGGATGCCCGCACCGCTCCGATTGCTCAGTCATGAGCATGCGCCAAGCGAAAAGAAAGCATGGTTTAAGTCGTGAGACCAAGCTACCAGTAGCCTGCTATGCCAACAGCGAAGTGTACTGTTAGCAGGCTCCGGATATGTAGGCGTTTCCTCAGGTTGCACGGCATTCTGAATCCTTTCGCTCGAAGACCAGCATCAGCTTGTACTTCTGCGACAGTTATCATTATTCTTCGCTCCTCTTATCTCTGTGTCTTATTCTTGTCCTTGGCTTCCTATGGATCTGTTGCATCTGTTGCCCTGAGTAACACCATCTATCACAGCGGCTATCAACCCCCCGTGCCGCCTCTCAAAGGCAATGATGCAGAGGTTGTGTTTGCGGCTGTGGCGAACAATGGATGCGAGCCTCATCTGAATCTACATCGCCTTACGGTACACGCTCATGGCTTGCTGCGAACTTCGCTGTGCATTCGTGCTTGAGACGGCTGGTTGCCTCGCCATCTGTTTGGCCTGAGCGGCCACGCAGACACAATTTTGACAGGCTCTGGAGTTTGCTTCCTCCGAGCTTCGCGACGACACAGCCTTGGTCGCCTTGGCACTGCAGCAGTGCCCTGTCGGCGACTGCGACGTCAGGGCATGTGAGGGCATAAAGTCCAAACCCGCAATATTGATATCGCAGACACTTCTTCTGCGTGCTTCACTCACGGGTTCGTTCTTTTGGAGAAGCTTCTGCTGTGCCGTTGCGATGTGTCCCAGAAGCCGGGGTGCGGCACTTCGCTGGGCTTCAGAGGCACGCCGTTCGGAGAGGCCGGGTCCTGGATCCCAGTAGCTTTGCTTCCGTATGGCCGTCGGCTCGCGTCACCAACACATCGATTTGGGAAATCCAGTAAATCGGGAAGGCAGAGATTTAGGGAGCATTGAGAGTCATTTAGATCTGGTTGAAAGGGGTGCATTCGAAGATTTCGGCCCTACAGAAGGAGCTTTTGCTAAGCTACATCTATCAGTATGACTATGAGGACTTTCGCCTGCTTGCTCTCCCCAAGCTTTTGTTCGTCGTCTTGAGTACCATCGTTTTTCCAATTTGGGCCGTCAAGCTGAATGCACTGCTTTTTGATGAGTACGTGTCGTCTCGATCTTTTCAGTCAAGAGCGTTGCAGCACGCTTGGACTCCTGGGTGGCAGAAGCCTGCTGCAACAAGGTTCTTTAAACAGTCTCAAAACTTTTTACAGGCCCCAAGCCACAATATGCCACAATACTGAGCGCTCCGGTGTCACGGCGACGATGTGTTTGCTTGCTAACCGGTACTCTGCGATGTGAAGTGCTGAAAGAGCGGTTGCTACAGTTTTCCTCTTCCACCAGACCTTATCGGACGAGCCTCGGGCGCTGAATTTTCGCATGTCGCAGAATGTCTTTTCGACGACGACATGATGTGTTTGATAACTTGACTGGGCTTTGTAGTGGGGGTGGGGAGTTCCAATTATCCTGGGTTTTGTGCAGCAGCAAGACGTGGACGTGGACAGACATGGCAGGTGTATGTTCCAATTTGTTACTTATCGCGTACGTAAGTTTTGCATTCCCATTTACAATGAGAGCCATGCTCAACTACAGGAGCCATCTGGCCACCAAGCGGACACCAAAACTCCAGGCTTCGTTCTGTGTTGTCGATGGACATGGGGCGAAGCAACGCTGGAAGGATCGCCTTGTCACCGAGCCACTCTCACAGTGTAGGGACCTGCCGAACGGTCCGGCCTTGGCTGACATGCACTGAGAACCTGCAGTCTTGTGTCTCACCTTGTATTGTCCAGTGCCTTTCCTAGTGGCGTGGCCGTTGGACTGGTGCTGAAGTGATTGAAAGCTGCAGCAGTGTCATACGCAGGGGACTCCAGTACTTACTGGACGCCTTGCTTTCAGTCTGTGGGTTGCTTGGCCTTCTGTTGCCGGAGCCAAAAATGGAGACGAGCCTCCAGCTCATAAGTATCCATGTCTCTCAGGTTGACATGGGTGGCAAACATTGAGCAACCTCAAGTTCAGCACTGTTCAGCCTTCAGCGACTTGTCTCGTGTTTCTGGCGGTGATTGACAGGCGCGCAAGCCTTGAACATGGGTGCTGGAGTTTCCGATTGTGCGCCCGTCGTCGTTGTCGTTCAATGGGGCCGGCTTGTTTTGACTTGCTCGCATGTTTGTTGCCGCCCTGAAATGGCAAATGCTAAGATCCTGCCAAGGATTGTCAGACGACAGGGGCCTCTAAGGGCGTCTACAATACGCAAGGCAACAGGCACAAGGGACTCGTGCGCGTTCCAGGCAGACTGCGGCAGTTCAGTGCAAGCCCACTGTCTTGAATTCTGCGATGAGGCCTCATGTTTCCCGACAGCTACGGGACTGTATGTTTGTTTGATTTCATTCGCCATGCCAGCGTCGAACCCAAACACTGACAGGCCACAGGGATGATTGCTTGAAGACCGCACTAGGGCCACATCCCCGCCAGAAACTCCAAAAGTCAATTTAGAGTTGGGCAAAGCCCGATCATTTAGTTTTGCCCAGCTAGGCTGCTAGGAGTTTACAGACTTGGAGACAAAGCAACCCACAAATAAATCGAAGCACTTGCTTCGGGTCTGCACGCCAGCATGACCTACATAATCCGTTTGCGTTGAGCGTAAGGCTGAAGGACCCCACACTGTTGCCGGGAACTGTCTATTCAAATCGGCATGCATGAGAACTGTGCCTGCTTGTGTTATTCGCTAGAGCAGTCAGGGAGTTGGTCTACGAAGCTGTCGTGCTGGATGCCACCATGCTCCAATATGCATCAGAGGAGCCGAAAACTGTGGTGATGGTAGTCGGTGTAGCGATCTTCGACGCCTTTGTATTCCAACAGAGCAGAGTGAAGGATAGGGCAAGCGCTCGATGAGTGATAGATTTACCATGAGTCTCCTCGAGGCATCGTATGGTCTGTATAATTGACGGCTTCATAAGTGGTCAACTGGAGGACCTTCGCGGAGATCCGGACATCGTAATGCAAGCAGTCCAGCGCAACCTGGTAAATTCGCACTGAAAACCAAACGCCGTCTACGCCACTTCGAAGTGAGGCAACGGCAATGCGCTGCGGTACGCTGATGCAGCAGTGCGAGGAGACCGTCGTGTGGTCGAGGCCAGTGCAGAGGACGAAACCCGAGAGCATGTCATACAAAAGGCTTTCTGAAGCCCAGGTCTTCAAAAGGTTCTCCTGTAACAGTCGTGAGACTTAGACAGGCTCACGTCGTTCTGTTCTGCAGCTGTCCGTAGATGCAAGTGCCTGCAAGTGGGGTCTTTGCCAGCGGAATCGGCTCCAGCACTCAGCGTCAGAGCACGCCAAGCTCTTCCGCCCTGCCCGCGACTCCTGAACAGGCCGGGGAATGGTCATGATGCTGGTATGTACTGGTACTAGTGAGAGAGACGAGTGGCAAACCGAGCCGTGAGCTCTGCAGGTGACTCGATGGCTCGGCAATGGCAGTGCTCTCCAAAATTGGATGAAGCCCTCGAAGAGATGTCCGGATGGTTCAAGAACGCAGGCGAACGAGCTGTAGAGTGATGTAGTCGAGTCGACCCCGCAGTTTTGTTCCATTTGCCGGACTGCTTGAACTCTGAGCCACCGTCTCCCCACTGATGATGTGCTCGTATAGTCGTAGTCCTATCAGGACCCTAGGTGGAGCAGTGCTGCACAGTTTTTGAAGCCTAGCAAGAGCTTCGGCCCTGAGGTGAGCTTGAAACAAAAGCGGAGGATGCATTTGGCCCCGCTGCTAGCTTGCGGACACTTGAGGTGACCAAGCGCCCAAGTGAGGCCCAGCACGGGGGCTCTCTGAAGAGTCCTGTGGAAGCCGAAGCGACGGGCGAAGATGTGGCGAGCCACATCTTCGGCACAGCGAAAGCCGTCTTGGAACAGTCCCGTCAGGAGTTCATGCAGCTACTCCAAAGCTTGGATGGCAGCACTCAGACTCAAACAGAGGAACATCCGAGTCATGCTGCCTCTCCACTGCTGACATCCGAGACCACTTCTCTGCAGCGACCAGCGTCACCACCTGGTAGCACAAAGTCTTGTCGCGAAGAGCAGGCGCCCGAGCAACTCCTTATCTCCCCACACGAGAAGCATTGGAAGCGCAGTCTGAAGAGCAAGAAGGGGCGAGGCTCAGTTGCTGAGTCTCCTTTCAGCCCAGGCTTGGTGAGCACGTGCAGCTACGCCGGTTGCCTTTACCCTAAGAGGGAGATTGTGGAAGAGAAGCTCCGAGAGAGCCGCGTGGAGGGCTCGAACGACTTATGCAAACAAGTCTCTGACGACACTTTTTTTGTCCGTGCAGACTCGGCAATGAAGCAGAAGGGCAGTACCACCATGCCAGGACTCGCGTCCGAGGCCAGCACTGCCTGGCGCAAAAAGGACTTGAGGAGGGCGAGCCGGAGTCAGAAGGAAGCGAAGCGTGTGCGAATCCGCATAACGCCACAGCATTTCAGCCCGTTGGGTACAATGTTTCGCGATGTTCAGGTGGACTTCTTTCCAAGCAGCTTCACGATCCGGGCCCTTGACTGTGAAGGGTATGCATGGACAGCCTACTCCAACCAGCTTCCAGGAGACATCGACACAGACCAGTGTCGCTTCAAAATCGACCCAAGTGGAAAGGATGTGATCATCAGCCTTCAGAAGGCTGGCAGCCAGTCTTGGCAGGATTTGACAAGGCTTGAGCTGACTCGCCCGTACCATCTCTCAAGTCCGGGCAGCCTCGGCTGAAACGCGGCGGTGCCGGAGTCTAGGGCCTGGGGCCGGACATCACTTGGTGAACGACTTGCCGAACTCCGCTCGATGCGCGAAGTGCAATCACCATTTTCCTCGCGTGACCGGCGTTTGTGTATTGTGTAGAAAAATTAGCGATCCATAGCGGGCCAGGTTCGCACGTGTCACATCAGCTCTTTCAGGGTGACAAGGCACCGGTCCGACCTTTTCATCCCGGTGCCGCCCTTTGCTGCCACAAACAGAGAGTTGCTGTGCGGCGCGTTATCGGTCCAGCTCGTCAAGTCTTTCCGTCCTTTCATGGTGGCGTAGTTGTGTCAGGGCAGTTTCAGTTCACGCTACGGACCGAAAGCAGCCCCTGAGTGCAGCATCCCTGTTAAGATTCAATCGTCGAATGTTGACTGGCAGCAACTGGCAAAGCAACGCGATGCGATCGCCCTCTTCGCCAGCTGCTGCTCGTTAACGCTTTGTAGCCTTACTTTCCACTCAAGATCACCCCGTGCGCGTGCGCGCGCGCGAGTGTGTTTGTGTGTGTGTGTGTGTTATACTGTTATCGAGTTATGCCTGTGTCTGCACCGTTACTTGAACATGTCATGGGCCAAGATCAAGTGGCCACGCCTAAAAATCGAAGTCCAGCCAAAGGCCGGACGCGTTCCTCGTGTCACTTCAGGTCCAAAAGGAAGCTGCCTGCCTTGTGTCCGTTACCCGTATCCGATGGGACATGAAAAGCCATGAGCTGGATTTGCGGCAAGCGGTCTTTTGCCAAGAGTTCCCGTGTACCCGGTTTGTCTCCAAGGCCAGATTCTGCTGAAGATGGGTCCGAGATTCAAACCTGGGACATAGCCCGAGCGTACCTACGGAGAGCAAAGCAGACAAAAAGCTTGAGGCACCTCGTTGAACTGGATTTGTTTTTACTCCTGAGCTGAGAGCTGCAGGCATCACATGTCTTGACAACTCGCTCTGGCTCGTCCAGGCTGCCCTACAGCAGGCAGGTCCGCACGTCCTTGCCTTCGCTGGAGGCTGCATGGCAACAACGGTCTTCGCATGGTGTGGCTGGAAGCGTTCAAACGGGGCTAGGGCCCATCGGTGGTCCGGACATGACATGGCATGAGTGTGCGGCCAGCACCACTAGCATTGGACACAGCCGGATGTCCTCTAACGAGTGTCAAAGTTGTGGTGATGGGGGAATTTGGTCTGAGGACTGCTTCTGATTCTTTAAGTCAGACAGCTAGCCAAGTTTGCATTATGGGTTTGTGCTGCTGCAAGGCAGGAAACGGACAACATCAGAGAAGGCTTTTAGTAGCGTCGTATACCAGGGGTCAGCTTGTGCTAGGAGAAGTCGCTGAGACGCTGCTCGCGGAGATGAGTTGCTTCGACATTTTTGCTGAAGGATCAGCTTGAAACAGGGCGCACCTGGGCAGCTTGCAGTCCATACTGACGTAGAGTGATTGAGATTAGAGGTGGACTCTCCGAGCTATCGCGGAGCCGGGTCACAGCTTAGCAGCCATTTTGGCCTATGCTCACTCAGACGATGGGAATTGCAGGAGTGCAGTGGGGTGCGAGAGTTAATTGCGGTATGCAAGACACGGTGCACATCGAGACTAGCACAAAAACCTTCGGGGAGCTGAGCGCTTCAGCCCGACCTTGTTGCCCAACATGGGCCATGACATGGGCAGATGAAGCGTAGTGACGGCAGCCTATGTTGCAGAGCGGAGATGAGGAAGGACTGAGGGGCTAAGTAAGCTCCTGGGAATCGTTCCGCAAGAGCACCAGCAGAAGTAGCAGAAGTAGGAATAGAAAGGGCGCAATCATCATGTTGCAAGTTGAGGACCCATCAGCAAGACATGGCCTCCGCGCATGGTGTTGGCAAGGCCTACCTCTACACATCAAAAGTGTCGGGGTCTTTCATGTGGGGCACGAGCCTGTGATGGCCTGTAGCTTAAATCCTGGGCTGCTTTTTGGGACTGCAAGAAACTGCCTCCGAAATTCGATCGCTCGGCTAAGCTAAGACACCATCTTGGCATCCTTGCAGACGCCGACATGAAGCTTACGGTTTCATGCGCAGTGCACGGCCCCAGAAGGTTCGCTCATCAGAAGCAACACGCCAGACTTGCTCAAGCTGGCTGGAGCCAAGTCTACGGCAACTTGTTGTGAAAGACTATGACAGAGTCTTGCAGCAAGATGCGGTAGAGCTTTAAATGCTGAAAGCACCCGAACAGAGCGCAAACGGGCCACCTCGGTACCCTGCCGGCCTGTGGGGGTTCCGGATCATGGACTTCCACATGCATGTCGAATTAAGGGGAAGGACTTGTGATGCAGTAGTAGAGCAGTCTGTGCCTGCACCATCTGCTTGGATGTCCTGCTATGGGCGCAGTCAGGTAAAGTCCCAGCCGCACCGCACGGCGTGCGCTTCATCCGAGTGCCGGGGGGGTGGCGACCTCGTGTTCGGCAGGCCGGCAGTGTCCTTACAGTCATAGTGTAAGTAGTAGCTCAGGCAGGACTGCCTGGAGCATTGGCTGCCTGCTGCCTGTTGCTCCAGAAGCCCACGTGGCAGGTACCTGTGCTTGACGAAGTTCGCCCAACAAAGTCAAGCGGGCAGGACTGCCACTGTCTGAAAATGCTGCAAGCTCCGTCAGCGTGACGCCTCTGAGGACAGCCTGGCACTGCAAGAACTCAGTCGAGAAGGCCGGGATGTTTGTAGAACCCTCTGGGCCGTGGGCAAAGCTGGACAGGCGAGCCATCGCCAAGCTGGGAGATCTCGGGTATGCATCATGACATTTCACAATCCTCAATGATGAGCGCTCCTTGGCGTCATGCGCCCCATGCTTGTGTTGTGAATATCTTTTCTTCCTGACCATGCCTTCGAGATCAGTTTCGAAACCGAGGCCAGCTCAAAAGTCGCGACTCTAGGGCCAAGTGCACTGGCCCTTACACGTCCTGACGGCCTTCCACGAGACAGGCGGCCTTACAGGCTCGGAGAATCCAGTAAATACAGAGATTGGCGTGTTGTATTCTTGTCGCCCAAAGGCGCGATCCGCATCTGTCGCCTGCAATCCGTCAGTGGCCAGCAAGGTTTCTGAAGGAGATTACGATTTCAGACGTTCGCCGTTCGAGGTGGTCGTGCAATGCTGCATACCAGCCGAACAGTTCGAACCGCGTCTTTCCAGTCAGCACAGCTTCGAAGGAGAATTGGCAGCACCTGGACAAATCCCAAGTCAGCGGCGATCCTTTGAACAATGCATGCTGGCTTGCAGTACGCATCTCTCGTTGGCTGTGGGGTTTGCCCCTTTGCGAGTGTTTCGTCAGTTCGGTTTTTCGGCACATTGATCTGTTGAGGTACGGGCCCCAGGGGCAGGGTGTAGGCGAAGTGGACAGCACAGAGAGAGACACGGATTTCTCGGGCGGTGCATGCTAAAGCCGTGAGCCGGAACAGCCCCCGTTGGTTCGAGGAGGTTGTTTGCGCATTTTTGTAAACCTGATTTTTTTCGGCATCTTGGAGAGTGTGCAGCTGAATCATCCCGCGCCGCCGTCGCATTTCGTCTTCCGTCGTCACTTTAAAGAGGGTTCGAGAGTCGAGAGCCCATGCCCAGGCTCTAGAGGAGCTGAAAACCTTGCGGCCTGGCATGCACCGAATTCAGAAGGCCTCGAAAGACTTGGGCTTGGCCGCGTTGCTTAGGATTGGGAGGAGCTCATCTCGAGGAAGCAGCAAGGCATCGAGTGGCAGGCCCTCGTCGAGTCTGCTCTCCTCTCATCTCCTCTCCTCATCCGAATCCTTGGCCAGGTCTCGGCGAAGCAGCCCGGCCCCGCCTGCCGTTTCTGCACGTGCCAGCATTCTTGGACGACGGGGCAGCCAAGTAGGTCCGTTGAGATGAGAAGAACTTCTTGCCCCAAACTTCCCAAAGTGCTCTCGCTCACCTTACCGTAGTGCGTTTAGCACGGCACGTGGCCGCTTCGGTGACGGAAGTCCACTTCAGTAGAAAATTAGTTCCTGCAAAGTGGCCGCAGGCCTCACCAGTCGGCGTGGCTCCATCGGTGATCTTTCCGAGAAGATGCTGCTTGTTCTGCAGCCTAACGCGGGGTAATCTCGGCTTAGACTGCCGCTCCCTGTGATCATCCTACTGTGTCATGGCCAGTGTGGAGTGACAGAAGGCAGCCATTTGCGTAGGTCCCCGCTTCGATTGCAGAGGAGGACAGAAGAAAAGAGAAGAATACCACATGGAGGGACAGAGAGGGCGACCGCCGGCACAGGACCGGACAGCGGTCTATACGGTGCGTTTTGCTGGATGGCAGCAAACACACTAGTTCCGGAAAAAGGCCTCAGGGGAACTATTGCACTGTTTTTAATGCAAACCATATGCACCCTGAAACACACTGTGTACTCAAACGATCATCAGAGCACCAAATCCTGGTAGCTTCAGCGACGACCCCACTGCGGCCCGCAACGCCCATAATGCGAGGCGAAAGCAGGCGGGCAGAGTGGAGCCAACAACCAAGGCTTTTACAGCCAGCAATTGCACATAGGAGACATCGGTGACGCCATGTCTGGATGACCACCAGGCACAGGACTTCTGGCTGACATCAAGTTCGATACGGTCAGCAGCATCGAACACATCTTCATGCAGCGCCCATCCAGCTACGTACAGCAGCGGACGGCAGAGACTCTACACTCGAACTGCGTTGTGGAGGCTATAGGCCTTAAGGGCAAAGAAGAAGGGCACAGCAGCTCCTGGCCCAGAAGCACTTGATCAATGAGAAGAAGTACGACGTCTCTCACATGTCCATGAGTTCTGGAATCGTATGCTTGTTCCTGCCGCACCGATTGGTACGGCAAGGAGTCCGTTGCCAGAGATTCTGTCCAGATCAACTTCCAGGAGCTTTGTGGTTGGGGCTGGAATTGAAAACCGTCGACAAGGCTTCCTCTACAGGGTGAAGGTGCACCTCAAGATGGTTTGAGGATTCTGGATGAAGGCCACAATGTCCTCGTATGTTCTGATTTCCTGGAACATGGCCTCGGCGTGATCTAGAATCGCATTGCGGCGGGTCTCTGCAAATCTATCATACTGTGAAACCAGCGGTGACCATCACCCTGCGATACCAGACCAAACTGAGTCCCAAAATCCATCCCCGAGGTGATTTTGCAGATAAGGATGCTGTGGAGCAAGATGCCAAAATGAGCAGCGCCTGCAGTCAAGGATGGCGCCCTCGAAATGAAGCAGCGCTGGCAGTCAAGAACAGGCGCTTGCAGTTCGCTTTCCGTTTCGCCGCTTGCAGTTTTGTCGCCAAAGTTGTGTCTCTCGTTTGCTGGTTTGCTATCTGTTTCGTCTCGCGGCTTGCAGTTTTTCGCGCTTGTCGTTTCGTCAAATCTGAGCAAAACGGTTGCTTTGAAGACCGCCTTACAAGATGGGCGAAATGAGGTAGATGAGTACAAGAACATACAAGAGCAGCCTCGAGGAAGCCTGTCATATCAGATCAGAAATGAAGTTCAGATTATATGATTATATAAAAGTTGTATAAAAGCTCGGCCACTCGCCAGCCAGTCATGGAAGATCTCAAGAGCTCGGCCAGTTGCAGGAGGGCCACGGAGCCAGCGCTTGCTCGTGTGCCCACTCCACTGCTGCTGCTGCTGCTGCTGACTGCACTGACATCGAAGGCTATGAATGTGCTCATCAAGGCGTGCGTAAGACCAGTTTGCATTCAATCACTTGAACCTGTGCATTTTGCACTTGATCCTGAAACAGGTTCCAGTCGTTCCACCTTGTGTTTCGGTGATGCCATGCCTGCGTCGTTCAGGGAAACTCCAGGAACGAGAGCTTGCAGAAAGAAAACGACAAGTGTGTGGTATCGTAGGCTGTTCTCCACGTCCAGCTTCGCCATTCCCACCGGCGACACTGCACTGGGAAGTGGCAGCCTACGAATTAGTCCGTCCGAGCATGGCTCTTGTGGAAGCCGGTGGCGGGGGCGGGCACCTCGACCTTCCGGTAAAGTGATGGTAAACGTGAGATGCCGAGTGGATGCACAGCCGGGAAGGGCAGCAATCCAGCATTGTTTGCGCGCGTGGGGGGGGGGGGGTTTCGACCGACTTTCGGCAGACCGCCTACCATACCACAACGTTTGATTCCGAAGTGTTTCGTGAAGAGACTCTGAATTTCCGTGCAAGGAAGAGCCGCAGCGAAGGCAGCATGCCGGAAGGGAGGTACAGCTCCACAGACAACGTTTTCCGAGCCATTGTGAAGAGTCGGACAGGATCCACGAACCTTGACGTGACGCCTATGACACGCAACGACGATATGAGGGCTATAAGGGTCCTGGGCTACGATGGCTACCGACATCGTGACCCCCATACGCCTGCTCCATGTGACTGCGGATGCCGGTGCAGCGCAATTGGGACTGGGAATACCCCA